TATTCATAAACGATTTGGAGAGAGCTGGAGAGTGCACAAAGCGAATCCTATTTCATTTATACAGCAGATGAAACGTACAACTCAATTAACATTGTCGATTTTGAACCAGCTATTTCTGCCACATCCGAAAATCAAACCTTGAACGAACTTGCTAAAAAGATTTGCACAAATCTTGGTTTAACTGGAACTTTCTATCAGACTTGTTTGTTCGATGTAATTTCAACTGGTGACACTTCCTTTGCAATGGCTAGTGCTAATGCAGTTGCTGCTGATGCATGTGAATCCAACCCAGCTTCCTGTGCAAATGTTACCTGTCCAAACCATTGCAGTTTGAATGGAATTTGTTTGGATGGTGTATGTCAATGTTTATCAGGATTTTTGGGATCTGATTGTTCTGTTGTGGATGCAAACGCTCAATTTGCCTCCATTATCATAGGAGCAGTTATTTCTGTTGTGGTTGTTTTGGTGATTATATTGGTGGCAATATTTGTCTTATTTTACATAGGTACCAAGCTGAAGAAAGGTTGGGGTGATAAACACAGAACAATACCAAGCATGGTTAGTATTGTGCCCACACTTACTGGAAAAGATGAAATACCAATGGATCATGGCAATATTGTAATGGACAATCAACATTACGGAACAGTTTTATTCCACAAGAAAACAAATCAAAGAACTCAAAATACTGCTTAATAAATCGAACATGTTTCAGTTTTTCTCTCTTCTATTTCAAATCTATGTTCAATCCAAAATCTTATCTAACATCTTTGCACTACTCCACTTTCAGATATGGTCACAACAAAATTGCTCGAAACAATTCCACGAAGATTGCTCATTTTCTCCAGTCCACAGAATTTGCAGTTGTTTGTTCGAGAGAAGTACAATGTTCTGAAATTCTTTTGAAGAAATCTTGTAGAATAATGGTTGAAGACCAATCTTGAAAGAAAATATCTAGCTAATTTCATTTCTGCTATTGTTGTGCATAATTTGCAAGGAGTTTTGATATTGGATAATTGGAGCCTATCTGTCACATTTTGTAAATCTGAAATAGTCTTCTAAGTCATTCTATCATTAAACAGCTGCAAGAATAATTTTTCATAGGAAAACCAAACGTTCCGAAATTGCTTGGACCCTTGTAGATTGTGATGAGTTTTTCCCCCAATTCCAAAGAAGTGAACCCTTGAAAAAGGTTCAGGTAAAATAATCCTCCCTATCTGTCTCCTCAATTCCCAAATAAAATCTAATTCCATATGTATTGTTTTTCATTCACTTAATAGAGTTGCTCATTAATAATACTCCATTTCTTCCACCCAATGAAATGTAATTTGGTGGCACCTATCCATCTCTTTTGTGTTTGTATTAACTCCAAATCTGTTGTAAGCTTTATATACATACGAGTATGTGAAAATATCTCACATCCATGTTGTTTACACATTGAAGAATTGAATTGTCTGAAAAATCCATATATGCCCTTCTCTAAATCCAATCTGAACAAATTTCCTCTTCTCGGATTTCCAAATTTACCAAATCCAATAGAATCCCTTGTCCTTAATTGTTGCACCCAAATGTTCCCTCTCCTTCTCCGAACAACAACAATTCTACAATTTTGAAATAATTACTCTACCCCAACACGATTGATTGTTATTATTAATAGGGAGGGAATCAATCAACATCGATGATGAGAGAATTGGATCCGAGTCTCCAGCATTAACCTTCATCCGAGTCTCTCCATTATTATTGTTCTTGTTCCACTTAAAAACCTATTACAAAATATTCTTCTTCATGATTCAAAACATGAACGGAAAACCATCCATAACAAAATAGCCTACAATAATAAGCAGTAAGAAATTCCCTCCGCTATTGTTGCAGCTTAATATCGCTTCAACTTATTGTTTGCTTTTTTTTTCGTTTTTTTATTTTTGCTCTTTTTCAGTGCCTTAATTGGCACCGTTAGAAATGCTGCAATTTATCCATTCTGTAAGAGATAAAGAGATTCAAAGATATGAAGCATGAAAAAGACTACAGCACCACAGGTTCCCAAGTTGTCTCCAACCTCAGTACTGATGTGGCTCGACGATGCTTAACTTCTCAAATCGGACGGGATGAGGTGCATTCATCGTGATATGGCCGTAGCCATTCATTTTACTAAAATAAGAATTATTAACAATCCTTCTTACAAAGCTGAATTTTTCAAGTTTCAATTCCATGTAGAGAATAATTTATTTAATAATTAAAATTCTAATAATTCATTCGAAATCAATTCGAAATTTAGCTTCAAGTCATCTGTCATCCCAGTCAAAAAAATCAACAAAAAATGAGTAGTCTCGAAAAACTATCAACCTACACACACGAGTTGGAAAGTGTCGAGTCAAAGATTGAAGAAAACATCACCACTCTTCGTCGTCTAAACATTACCAATCAATCGGATCCAAATTTTATTTCCTCACAAATTTCCACACTATCCGAAACCATTGAAGAATTATTGGAAAAATGTAGGAAATTATATAACAAGATTAATAACTTGACAAAGAATGATCCATCCGTTGAAAATCAAGTATCCGATACCAAGAAGAAACACAAGGAAATTATTGCCAAGTTGAGAGCAAGTTACAAACAATCAAAAACATTTATTGAAACTAAAGCAAAGGGGTTGAATGATGGTAAATCATCAAATAACTCTGCTTTAGAATCAACAAATTCCAATTTAACATCAAATTCATCATCATCAGCAACAAATAGTGGTGGTGCTTCTGGTGGTGGTAAAAAGGAAGGTTTCTTTACATTTGCAAACAAATTGAATGAAGGAAAGAATTCATCCAATGCCATTGAAGAAGATGATGTTGTGGAAGTTAAGAGAAACAGTGATGCTGATGTGACAAATATGTACAAGGGAAATGCCAATCTGACACAGGAACAACGTCAAAGGCACGATGAAATTGAAAAGGAATTATTTTCTGAAGTATTTTCAACTCAGAAGGAATGTTTGGACATTATCGATCGTTTGAATAA